AGTGAGTGCTCAGTGAATGTCTCAAGAGTAAATGAGCGAATGCTTCTAGAGGCCCAGTCTCTGCCTTGGTGCCGCTTTCTCAAGGGGACCCTTCTGGAATCATCTCCCGTTTGCGGGTTAGGGGCCAGGCTCCCTCAGCACCACACACTCCATTTTATCCCTGCCTGCGTCTTGGCATTCATGCTACCTTCACGGGCCTGCTTCTATACAGTGAGCCCTCAGGAACAAGGGCGGCGTCAGCCCCTCTCACGGCCTCCCACGTGGCAGGTGCGCTGTGAGAATGGGTGTAACCGACCCCCGAACTGGAGGCCGGCTGAAGCCCCGCCCACCTCCAGACACAGCCCCGCCCCCCTCCCCACTTCAGTGGGGCTGGGGATCGGAATAGAAGAACGATCGATCCCTGGCTTCTAGCGTCTCGAGAGCTTATTAAGAATGAGACCATCTAGTTAGAATGTATTAGGATTTAGACTCTATTGATAAGGATAGGAACTCCTGTCTTCCGGCTTTCCAGAATTACTTTTGTCACCTAGCCCAAGATTAGCGTAGTCTAGATCAGGGGTCAGCAAACTATGCCAAGTGCAGCCTGCTGCCTGTTTTTGTAAATGAAGTTAAGTTTCCTGGGAGCACAGCCACACTCATTGGCTTCCATTATGTCTAGACTCCACGGGCAGCTTTGAGTAGTTGGGACAGAGGCTGTATGGCCCACAAAGCCTGGTATATTTGCTGTCTGACCCTTTATAGAAAAAGTTTGCCGACTCCTGTTACAATGCTCAAAAAATACCGTTGGGTTAAGTAAGCTTAAATCAGACCCTTGGAATCCTGCCCTGTTAACAGCAGTTAACCAATTCAGGTCTTTTGTCCGGGGACACCCCAGTGAACCAAACACTTTCTGCGATTCTCTCTTAAACAATGAGGCTATGGAGGTATGGAGTAGGTAGAAACAGCCACTGAAGACTCCTATATCTGCCCTTTATGTAACAGACAACATTTATGGAGTGTCTGCTCTATTCCAGAAGCTGTTCTAGGCACAGCGACGAAGGAGACAAAGTTCCTCCTTTGAGCCCTCTAGCTGATTATCACATCCTTGCTGTGCTCAACCAGGGTGGCTCCTGGCACGAGGCTTAGGCTGTGGTCCCCCGACTCCCACCGCCACCAGCAGGCCGCATCCGTCCCGCGCCGCGTCTCCCGAGGCCAGCTGTTTCTCTGAGGGGCCTCCCGGCCAGGCTGGGCGCTGCCTGGGGCCACGGGCTGCGCCTGTCTTTTTCACCTGGATCTCCCCAGCACCGAGCACAGGTTCTGGCCTAGGTCTCAGCCCGCTTTTATGCCACCGCACTGCTCCTGCAAGAGCCC